AATATTTCAGGAATATTATTTAATATTATATAATTTTAGTAAAATATTATTAAAATGTTATATTTAATATTCTGAAAATATGCCTAAAATATTATTTAATATTAAATAATATTATGCGCTTATAGGAAGAGTTCTAATGCAGTCTAGTGTAGAAATAAAAAACAGACCAAATTATTTTGACAAAATTATTTTTATTTCTTATTGATTTTTCGTGTGTTTAGATCCAGTGAGAAACTAGGCAAGACAAATTTTATAACAGTTGCAAAGTTGTTCTTCCAGTTAAATACAACCAAATGCCATTAGGTTTTCAGCCAACGTCCATATCACGTTGTAGAATATCATAAGCAACTAATTCTAGTATTCATTCATCTAATTGCGAGAGCAATTAGAAAGCCGTTCGGCCTTTATTAGAATGACTAGTCTGTAAGTTTAATTTTCGCTTATTGGAATTTATAAAACTTATATAATTTACTGTATAATTTGATATTGGCATCTTTTTTTGTATTTTTATTTTATTATAATAAAAAAAAAAGGGAATATCGAATGACTTTCTGGTCATATGCATTGATTAATCAGTAAATGATTCTTATATTTATTACTACGTAATAAAAACAAAATTTTAGAAGTGATAGAATGAAACTCTCGAAATCCCTCCACCATTTCAAGCAATTGTGTCGCCATCTTACAAACAGAGTTGCTACTTCAGCTAACTTTGCGATTGATGCTTCTCACGTCGACATGTTTTGTACGTTTCTGAGCAATTCTGGATTTTTCCGATTTTTCGAACAGGAACAATAAGCTCTTGTCTCTTCGTAGTTTGTTCTTATTCGCCAAACCTCCGAACAGTTCATTCTTCGCATCGTAGTTCTGCAAGCGAAAAAATCAACGACGTGTTACATTGGCAGCATTGCTTGCCTTACGCTTGTCAACTGTAGTAGACTGGAATGAATTGACTGTGGAGTTGTCGCGAGTGATTACTAATAATACTTTATTTTCGTAACAGTTCTGAGTCAAGCGAAAAGAGGAGACCGATTTCTCGTGCCGCGCCGTGGCTTTGGATAGTCCATTTCTGAGATAAGACGAGCGTCATGGATGACTTACAGAACTACAAGCTGCAGCTTCAGCAGGTGTTGAGCCTTGTTTTTCCTCTCTTAACCTCGCGTAACAATCGATTGGATGCGATAGTCTCACTCTTGTTTATCCACTTACAATGTTCTTACGATAGACTGACTTCTTATCCTTTTCCATATTTCAGGTGGAAGCGGCTCTCACAACAGATCCAAATAATGAAGAGTTGATAAAGCTGAAATTCGATCTGAAGGAAGTAATAAAGCTGACACATGATTTAATTAAGTCACAACAGCAGGAAAAAAGACAAGCCAATGGCATGGATGCTAAAGATCCTATTTTGCTAGCAGTTCTGGCCAATAAGTGGAAAGTCGGCGATCAGTGTATGGCACCTTGGAGCGAGGATAACAAGTGAGTATTATTTACATTTTAGGTTTGTCCTTAATTGATGAACTCATTGAACTAATATACTAATGCAATAAGTTGAAGGAAAACAAATGTAGTTTGTCTCATTTAAGCTTATTACGATATATGTACCTTCAGAGAGTTCTATAAGGATGAGAGCACAGAGTTTTGAAAAAATTAACTCTTTAATCAAAGTCCTTCATTTTCTTCCTTTCCATAAAATAAAAGACTGATTGGTTGATTTTCTTATGCATTATGCAAAAGTTTTATGCATTATGCAAAAATTTATGCTCCGGGTTTTAAAGACAGGCCTATTGTTTATAATCAAATTGAATTTTGATTGAGTTGTGCAAGAGAAGTTACCTAATTCATATACAGTATTGAATCAATATATAAAATGTTTTGAAAACTGGATATTTTACCTGAGTCATTATTAAAATCTAAAATACATGATATAACACAAAGGGGAAACTATTTACAGGAAAAATTCCAATCAGAAAGGATCTAGCAATATTATTTATTTGCTTCATTTTTCAAATTTATTTTTCAGTTAATACTTGGACTTTATTTTAAGAAAATTTGAATTTAACTTTTCTACTGTCAAACTTTATGTTGAATACTAAAGAGGAAAGACCAAAAATATTATTATTAGAGCAAATATTAATTATGATATAATTTGTAAGTAATCGAGTAAAAAAATTAATAATGATTTGTTTAAAAAAAAAATGCAATGACTATTCTGAAATGAAATATTTCACATAATTTTTTAAATATTATATATTGCAAAATTTTACAGGTATTATGAAGCAACTATAGATGCGATAAATGAAGATGGAATAGTAAATGTGACGTTCAATGAGTACAAGAACACTGATGTTACTATGCTCAGTCAGCTAAAGTCCGTTGCTAAGAGGCCAGCATCAGATTGGGCAGATCAAAAATCAAAGTAAGTCATTCCTGATCTATGATGTCTAAGATAATGTATCATTGTGAACATCATGTGAAATATACCTTACGTTTTTGCACATGAGTCTGCCTTTATGAGAAACATCAAAAATATAAGGCGACAATTTACTAATCATTTTTTCCTCCTCTCATTTCTGAATTGGCAACAATAACTCCACCATTGGTACGGTATTACGTCTGAAATATGCTCATTATTGTTCATTTATCCTTTGATGTTACGCGGTCCGTGTGCATCGTCGGGCTCCAGGAAAAGGTAACAAGAATTGTCCAATTCTTTGGTACCTTTGGTATCTTTGAGAAAAATTAATTAATTATATATGTGCAAAAGAATTAACAAATTTAAGTTTTATGCATTATGCAAAAATTTATGCTCCGGGTTTTAAAGACAGGCCTATTGTTTATAATCAAATTGAATTTTGATTGAGTTGTGCAAGAGAAGTTACCTAATTCATATACAGTATTGAATCAATATATAAAATGTTTTGAAAACTGGATATTTTACCTGAGTCATTATTAAAATCTAAAATACATGATATAACACAAAGGGGAAACTATTTACAGGAAAAATTCCAATCAGAAAGGATCTAGCAATATTATTTATTTGCTTCATTTTTCAAATTTATTTTTCAGTTAATACTTGGACTTTATTTTAAGAAAATTTGAATTTAACTTTTCTACTGTCAAACTTTATGTTGAATACTAAAGAGGAAAGACCAAAAATATTATTATTAGAGCAAATATTAATTATGATATAATTTGTAAGTAATCGAGTAAAAAAATTAATAATGATTTGTTTAAAAAAAAAATGCAATGACTATTCTGAAATGAAATATTTCACATAATTTTTTAAATATTATATATTGCAAAATTTTACAGGTATTATGAAGCAACTATAGATGCGATAAATGAAGATGGAATAGTAAATGTGACGTTCAATGAGTACAAGAACACTGATGTTACTATGCTCAGTCAGCTAAAGTCCGTTGCTAAGAGGCCAGCATCAGATTGGGCAGATCAAAAATCAAAGTAAGTCATTCCTGATCTATGATGTCTAAGATAATGTATCATTGTGAACATCATGTGAAATATACCTTACGTTTTTGCACATGAGTCTGCCTTTATGAGAAACATCAAAAATATAAGGCGACAATTTACTAATCATTTTTTCCTCCTCTCATTTCTGAATTGGCAACAATAACTCCACCATTGGTACGGTATTACGTCTGAAATATGCTCATTATTGTTCATTTATCCTTTGATGTTACGCGGTCCGTGTGCATCGTCGGGCTCCAGGAAAAGGTAACAAGAATTGTCCAATTCTTTGGTACCTTTGGTATCTTTGAGAAAAATTAATTAATTATATATGTGCAAAAGAATTAACAAATTGTAATTACATTCTATATACTAAATAGTAAAGTAATATATATATATTATTATTATTATAATATAGTTTTATTTTACTCTTTTATGACAATATTTTAATAAATGTGCTAATTTTTATAAATTGTAAGTAAATGGTACATACATCGAGATACATTAATATTAATACTTATCGAGATGCATTTACTGATAAAAATATATGGAAATGTTATCATTATTTATATATTTAAATTTGAATTGTCTCTTTTACTCAAATGATAGATTTATTCATTCACAGGAAAATGCAAGCAGCTGCAGTTGCGGGTTCGGATCCAAATAAGCAAAGGGAATACCTTAAGAAAAAGAAGCAGAGGAAATTACAGCGATTCAAAGAACTGGAGGAGGAACGGGAATTGGAAAAAAACAAGTGGCTAGCATTTACTAACAAGGTATATAATAATTTCTTTATATAACATAAATATCCAGAATATATTTAAATCGTGTCTCTATTATAACTATACTACTTTTGTTCTCTGCAGTCTTCGAAGAAAGGTGTTATAAAGAAGAGCATCTTTGCGACACCGGAGAACGTAAATGGTCGTGTGGGAATTGGTACCTGTGGTGTTAGTGGTCGAGAAATGACCAAGTTCAGTAACGGAGAAAAGTGGAGGCGAGGAGCTTAAATAAATTATATGTAAATAGATATATCATAATTTGTGATGAATGAGATAGAGTTATCGTGAAATTATCATTATATTATAAAGACTGGTTCACGAACGCTTCTGCGGTACGTGAGTGAACGATATGGCAATGTTTATGGGGTTAGCGACAGTGAGTGCGTCTAATATCTTTTCTTAGCAATACCGATTCTATGGAGTATCAAGACAATTTCGAATTTTTTACTATAACAATTCAAAAGTAACTGCAGCGAATAAATGTGTTTTTAGATTAATACATTTCCGTAAGCATAACTTGTTTACAATCTTATTGAATATAAATAAATGTATATTTTAACGTGCAGCTTTTTTGAAGATATTTTTATCTTTAAGAGAGCACATATATGTGTAATACAAATATAAAGTAAATGAATTAAAAAATTATATATATAGATATTAATAATATTAATTATTAATAGACAAGATTTTTGTAGTGTAATTTTGTTTTGATTATCAAAATAAGTTAATATTAAAATCAAGCCATTTAAGGTTTGGCTTCCCTTACGGCGCACTTTATTCATCTTCAAGACGTCCTTTTGAATATTTGTGCTGTGTGAATACACCGACAAGATACTATTAAAGACCGTCAACCCTGGGCAAATTTTCGGCGGTAAAAAGGGCCCCAAGGGCTCGGAGGTAATCGAAGGACGCTAACATTATCGACAATTGATATAAATTTGCTATTATTAACATAAATATTTGACTAATACATTACTAAATTCATATTTTATTACATAAATGCTCTATAAATAAATATGCATATTTGTAAAGCTATAATATCCTATATATTGCCGAAAAATTACAATTTTTTTCTCTGTTGATAATCGAACTTTGTCGATAACACTGAAATCACAATTTTAAAGAAAAATCGAGTATTGTTGAGTTTTAAATGCACGTACACCGATAAACACGTCTACTAAACTAATAAATCATAAAATTAGTACAATATTATCAGTTTTTTTACTCTTAATCACTTCAATATTAACAAGGACGCGAACTCCCATGTCGGTCTTTAATAATATCTCGTCGGTGGTGAATATAATTGATATTCAAGTTAAGCCGGTAACGTCACATTCTTAATCTTGATCGTTCGATCTGTCGGATAAATGAAATTTTACCCTACAGCTGTACGGATCTGTTTTACCTCGTCCGGTCGGTAACGTAGATCAGCAACTATCGTTACCAAAATTGGTCAGGATCAAGATGGTGGCTCCTGTCCAGTCATACGTCACCAGCGACTGATAAATATCACGAAAAAATGTGGACTTAGCACCTTGATAAGAAAAAAATAACTCTTCTCTCCTGTGTGAATAGAACGTTCGTCGCGTTTATCGTGCGGCATTAAAAATATCTTGTTATTTCCTGAATTTCATATTCTAACCTGTATGCGTTGTCATACTTGCCATCGCGAGATGAAAGTATCGTGAGACAGACTGCCAGTGACAAATATGGCATTATGCTAATGAAAGCTTTGTAACGATCTCCACGTGAATAAAGTTGACGTCAATGAGCAAGGATTGATCTTGTTTACTGTGACTTGCGCGTCCTTTTACCCTGAGAAGACATGGGCTCGAACGAGGAGAATAGACTTGCAAACGGCGACGTTCGGGTACACAGAGACGTTGATTGGGCTAGATACGGTTTACGTGATCCAGAGGCTCAGGAAAATGTAAAGAGGAATAATGGAGATGATAACAATGCTCTTGATCCAGAAATGTATCAGGCCGGTGCAAACGAATTGTTCGCGCAGGAATATGTAAGAAATATATGTGACATAAGTAATAGAAAGTTAAATTGATTCACTGTGTCTTATAATATTATTCTTTTGTATTTCCCATAGAGTTCGGATCCTTGGTGGAAATCAAACTTTTTTATCTCCCAGCCCGTATTGTTCGGCACCTGGGATGGTGTTTTTACGTCCTGCCTTATTAACATATTTGGTGTAATTGTATTTCTGAGATCTGGCTGGATAGTCAGTCAAGCAGGTGTTTTGAATGCAGTATTAATCATCTTTTGTACAGGTAGTATCATCGGATCAGTAAAAGATTAATTGTAAAGTCTGTTCTTTGTTGCTAAACTAGTATATACTTATTGTACTTAAAATGAAATAGATATATTTGAAGTTTGGTGAAAACGAGATAAAAAGTTTTAGTGCAATCCAGTCAGTGAACTCTATAATACACTGGAGCGCACCTTCCTTATACATACTAAATTGTAGAAAACTGCTGTCTAACAGAAAAAAGGAAGGCAAACAAAATCTGAAAAGAAAAAGAAGAAAAATTAATCTTGCAAGAAGTTCACTCCTGGTATATGGAAAAAATGGATCTAAATACTTGTTTTTCTAACTCTTTTCTGTAACTTTAGTTAATCAATGAGATCCTGACAAAGAAAACGGTATAATCTTTGCATCAAAGTGTCGTTTTCTAGGAATTGGAATACTTCCACTTCTTGAAGAATATTGCAAAATATTATACAGCTCACTGACTCTAGTACAGTGACAAAGAATAGGTTTATATAATATATAACTGATACATTTATATTATTAATTATCATCTTATTATCATCAAGAGAGTTTCGTCCTAATTATATCTTTTGTAAAGTACATATCTTTTCATGAGCGAGACGCTATAAATGTATCTTTTACACAGGAGAATATTTTTTTTAAATAAGCCATTTTGTTTTTAAATAAGTTGATGTTATCACAAGATGCAGATATTGGGGGAAATTACTGTGTACTGTAATGATTTCAGTGTGTATTGCATTAGTGACAGTACTGTCAGCTGTGGGTATATGCGAACGGAGTAGAGTCGAAAGCGGTGGAGTATACTTTCTATTGTCACATGTACTGGGTTCTAGATTTGGTGGCTCCATCGGATTACTTTACTGCTTCGGGCAGGTAGGAACAAATAAACCCATCCTTCCATTTTATCAGCGATTCCAAGAATCGGTTTGTGGATTTTATTTCAGGCGGTGGGTTGTGCTCTAAACGTTTTAGGTTTTGGGGAATCAATGGCTGGTCTTGTAGGTTTGGATTCAGCATGGACACAACGCGGCTTCGCATGCGCAGCCGTTGTATTGTTGTCTGTAATTAATGTGGCTGGTGTTAAATGGGTTGTAAAATTACAATTTATCCTCCTACTTATCCTACTCCTTGCTGGAGTTGATTTCATGGTTGGAAGTTTTACTCATACCAACATTGGTAAGATAACATATTGTGTCAGAAAATAATAATGTATTATGTAATACAGAATTTTGCAAAATGCCTTTGTGTATAAGTATAGCTAAAGTAACTTATATACTATTTACGTTTGCAGATTCTGGTTTTGAAGGTTGGCTCTCAGGAAATTTGAGAAACAACACCTTCCCCGATTATCAAGATGGATATAACTGGTTTACTGTATTCGGTGTATTCTTTCCCACGGTCACCGGTGTTTTAGCTGGAATTAACATGAGCGGAGATTTGAGGCATCCATCTAGCGACATTCCCAATGGTACTTTAGCGGCGTTAGGAACTGGGTAAAATGAATTGTCTCTAATGTGAATTATTTTAGAAAGTTTTTGATCTTTACATTAAAACGATTGTTATTTGCAGAACATTTTTATATTTATGCTTTTCGTTAACTCTCGCGGCAACTTGCGTCAGAAATGCTTTGCTTAACAACTTTACCATAGCATCGACGGTATCGGCAATCTCAGTGTTGCTACTCGCTGGTCTGTATGTATCATCGTTCAGTAGCTGTTTAGGTGCCATGTACGGCACACCTCGCGTTCTCCAATCTATCGCCAGTCAAAATGTTATACCAGGAATGAGTTGCTTGCAAAGAGGGGTAATTATTCTCGATGATATTTTTTAATTTGTCTTAGATATATTTATATATATATAGAGAGAGAGGGGATGGGGGGGGAGAATTAATTTTAGTTCATACTTAAGAAAATTTATAATTTTTTTATATCATAATGATTTATTAAAACAATGTTTTCAGAGAGGACCAAATAAAGTACCTATATACGCTATGCTAGTTGTTGCTGTAGTAACGTTGACTTTCATCATTACCGGACAAATTAATACACTCGCTCCAATTGTGACGATGCCATTCCTGTTAACATACGCCTGCTTAGATTATGCATACTTCGCTCTCGCACAAACGTTTGATCTTCGACATACCCGCGAACAACGATTCCGTTCGCAATCTCCGACATTCGATCGCAATTATGGTTCCGCAAGTAGGAATAACTTGATGATTGATGTGGATAATGATTTGGACAATCTGTTTCCCGAGAGAATAAGACATAAAAATGTTATGGTGAGAAATCACTTGCACCGAAGCATGCATTATTATTGTCTGTCTTGAATATTTATCCAGTAATGTTTACTGACATTTACAGAGAAACAACAGTATTTCTGACACTAATGTATATGTGGATTCATCGCCAAGTATCGAGGATAATGCCAGTGTTTCCAGTACACCAGAACGAAAAGTTCACATCCATAATAAGCTAGGAAATTGGTATAGTCCTTTGTGCAATAGATGGTTTTCGTTATTGGGTGTAAGTACTTTTGAGAAAATTGTTACTTTACTTTCTACGAAATACATCATTTTTTCACGTTAAGAGATCCATTCTCGAAATATCTAGTTATATTAAAGATTAATGTAAGTACATTCACATTGCAGTGCCTTGTAAAATTGCTTATAATGTTTCTCGTACACTGGGGATATGCGATCGCTAATATCGTTGTCGTATTTCTCGTTTGGAGTTACGTCGGCCACGCTAACCCTGCTGTAAAACCTGGAATTTCTGCAGAATTCCAATTCTTTAAATGGTTTCGAATTGCATTACTTCGAATTATGGGGTAAATTTAATTATTTATTATTATACATACACATTATTTTTAACTGCTAAATTCAAGATTCAAGGATTGAAATTAAACAGGAAATAATTTGTTTTTTTTTTTCTCTTAAGGATTGATTATATCTGATTAGAATGCTTGTAAAAAGTATAATAGATTTCTTTAGAAGTCAATTTTGTATTTTATATTCTAGGAGGAAAGTTTATGATTACGAGCAGATAGTAGTGACCCCGGTGCATCCAGGCATTGAAACGAGTCCGGCTCAACTGAATGAAGAAAACGAGGATTTCTCCGGAAGAAGAAGATATCACCAAACCGCTACAGTTACAGGTCAATATGTTAATGTCGACTAAATGTATGAAACTATGTGATCTTTCCGAAATTATAAATTGCGTGAGTTCATATGCTATTCCAGTAACAAATAGTAGTGCGTCTTTTTCAGTGGCAGG